AGCTTGCAGAAAACTGAAAAATAAATTATTTATTGGTCTTTGTCGGTGCGTACGAGGAAAAATCTGCCTTGTGCCCATTTTTTCCTATACCAGACCTCATGCCCGGTAAATAAGATATATATTAACTGAGGTATATGAAACGAAGATCATACATTTTCTCCGAGCGGCATGAAAGTCTCGAAACTATTTTACAATTACTCCGTCATACTTCTTTTGATGTCAATAGAGACAGATGCTCTCCATTCAATTCTTTGCCAACAATGTTTGATTTTTATTTCACAGAAAGTAGACTGTAGCGATATACCTTTAAAATTTTTGGCTATGAAGAAGGAATCTTCATTCAACCAACCTCGCTCATGCATTGTGTTGAGACTCAGGCCGCACTAAACCGAAAAAAAATCGTTGTTATGCGATTCAAATCGAAGTTTTCTTGTGCCGCCGATTGTTGCGACAAAATAATTTATATTCGCAAGACTTAAGTCGATAGCTTTTGTTATCTTCCCTGAACAAACCTTTTTCTTTAAAATATAAGTCATTGATAAACATGTATTCATATATTGAGATATTTTTTCACACATCAATTCACACGTTTTTTGTTTTTTTTTTCCTTTTTACCGTATTTTTAAATAATTCCCCCTACTTCTAATGCATATTTGACTTATCATACAATCAGTCAAAAATTCGATAAAATCTTTTGCCATCATTTCCCGCAAATTTTCATGTAGAATAGCCCAAAAATGTTTTGAAAAAGGCCGTGGTTTTAAAGCCGTTTAAAGGAAGACTTTTTCTTCGTGAATAAAGGGGTAAGTTTCTAAAGAAACTGTGGTGCTGCATGCGTCGGTGGGAGAGTCTAGCAGGTAATTTAGTGTTAACAACTGAGTTGAAAACGTAAATTAGCCACCGTAAAGGGTAAAAAAGCTGACGTTTCGAGCGTTAGCCCTTCGTCAGAGCGATAGATTTTCTACGTGAGACTAATTACGCTTTTGACGATTTTAGCGTTTTTTAAAGTAAATCACATATGTTTTATTACTTTATTGAATGTCAGGCAAACAATAAATAGGCGCGTTCAGAAAAATGTTTTTCTTATAAAAAAAAGTAACAACAATCAATTTTTTTTAAAGAAATGCCATTTCTTTGAGTGAAAGTTTTGCTCGAATCCACACCTTAAAAGATGGTCATTATTCCTACAAATGAAAAAGAGTGACTGACGGACGAGGATTTCAAATGACCCTGAATGATTTGAAGATATCTATGTATCCAGTGCGATAATGACTGTCGACGTATTTTCAACTTCTACCGCCACACATTAATTTAATTGACTGCAAATGTATGAGATTGTATTTAAAGGATGACACATTTTCTTCACCAGGACGCATAACAATAGGATATTCCATAATTAGCAAACTTGTTCAAGTGAAATAAAAACAATGCCAACACTTAAGAATTATTTCCTTTTTTACGATTTTAAATCAAGTTCATCTCTTTGCTGAAAATCATATTTCAGGACATATTCAACCCGATTAGTGTCCAAATTTTTCGTTCAAAACAACGATAGAGAATGAAATGCCAAGGACTTCGTTTCTGTGGTGCATTTGTCCATTATTTCACTTCATAATGAATATTGATGCCCATTTGAGGTATCTAAATGAATACTAATAAAACCAAACGCACGTTACAGCCAAAAGATTTAATTCATTTCTCTCTTGAGTGGTACGTCTATTAATCTTGCCCGCTTCATTTCCTGTTATTTCAACAGTGAATTAACCGAACAGAAGTGAGGAATAACAAAGGGTTTTGTTCCTTGGGAGTTTTTGTTTCTTTGAGAAGCCTGAAGGTTGATCATCTTTGACGCCGAAGAGGAAGAAGAAGAAGGAATATGTATTCTCCTCAAATTTATTTCATTTTCTTCAGCTTTTGGGCGTTTAGCCTGCTACAGCATTCAACCATAGCTGAACCTAGGAATGAGATCGTAAGGAAAGGTATGTGATATATATGAACATCCATGGTGGGTTTCATTTCGGACACGATGAGCGCAACAAGTGTTTTCTTTCTTAGTGACTGGCTGAGATCTTTGGCGAACAAAAATATAAGCATCGCAAGTTTCTTTTCCCTGCGAAAATTATAAAAAAGGATTGGTAAGATTATTTTTTTCTTTCACCTGTAAGACTATATGATTCATTGCTCTGTCCATTTACTGTCCCATATCGTTTTGCGTTCGGCACAAGTTTGAAATTCAAATTTCTCAGATAGTGGTTCTAGGGAATAAGATTAAGTTAGATATGGTCGATGAACTGTTCATTCATCTTACCCTGAAACTCTTGCAATTTATTGAGAATAAAATTGTTTGGGTGAACTCTGGTACCGGAAGATTTCGTTTTCCTTGAATTCGCCTTTTTTCTCACTTCTTAGAGGGGTTTTCGACGAATAGAATGATGCAGATGCAATTGTCTTCTACCTTGTTAAGTGAATTCAACCCGCTTACCCCCAAAGACAAAATTATTTCCCACTCTTTTACTGGAAGTTTTTGTTTTGTTTCGTATGTCTGCTTTCTTTTGAGTTATGTATGCCTTCAACTTTTTAATTTTTTTTAAAATGATTTTTCTCTTTGTTGTTTTTTTTGTTTTTATGTAACAAATAAAAGAGGATAGCTGGCACTGTTAATTAGTGCCAAGCCCTGCGCATAATGTTTAGTGAGCAGTCCACTGTCCTTCCTCTTTCTTCTTATTCAACAGTTTCTCCTTCTCTTATCAGAAAAAAAGATCTCACTTAAATTTTGTGTCCGTATCTACCTCAGCATTGATTTAAATTTCTACAAGCAACAATTTTTTTCTTTTGCTTTCTCTTATTCAGACTTCGAGCTGAATGCTGGCAATGGATTTTATTTAAAAGAATGCTTCAATAACTATGAGTGTGACTATGGTCAGACATGTGATGAGGAATTCCACATATGTGTACCTAATGTTTACAACAAAGGTCAGGGCTCTCTGTAACTCGCTCAGGATTTCCGAGTTACTCATAGGTGACTAACATATTTTTTAGCTATACTAGCTCACGGTTTTAGTATAACAAAACTACTATTCACCTTTGAGCCGGTGGCTAGCGATGAATACCATTAGCAGAGATGGATACCACTAACCGACGTTACCTCCAGCGCCTTTGTTTGGAGGCCTGGCATATCAACTCCGCCCACGCTCCTTTAAATCGTAATGATGGCGGCTGACTACATAACGCTTATTTACACCTCGTCACAAAAAAGAGCAGATAATTAATGAGAATATGAAATAACCTCTTGTTTTAGCGATTAGATCACCCCTGATGAAGGCGCTAGACAAGGGTGTCGAAACGTTGGGTCTATGAATTGTAACTTCTCGGTTACATTCATTAAACCTTTAAACCAGAGCAGCATCAAACCATGTCTGATTGTCCACCTGGCTGCCACTCGATGGATAGTTTTTAATTATCGAAAGATGTAAATATTTTACAAATAGATTTTATGCTCCAGCCTATCAGTTCAGTAGTATATCACATATGACGTCAAACCGAGGAAAAACTGGCATACGAGGTGCAGTTGAGTGCGACGCTGATGTTTCAACCACATTCAGACGTCTTATATGATCTCACTGAACACGGTGTCATGGGGTTTATTTTGTTTTATGCGATAAAGAAGCAAAATGTTGCTGATGATGACGTCATATATGCACTCGTCTATCATTAAGTTACATGTAGCAAGCAATTAAAACAGAGCTATTTAACAAAGAGATTTTATGTTACCCTGCGTCAGTTCGGTAATAGATCACAGATGACATGTGATTACAAAGTGCTGTAAAAAGACGTCACGTGTACTCCTTGCCTAATGTTTTGTTTGTCTTTTTTTCTCCTTAGGTGTCAAAGGACGGTGATAATAACTTTGTTTAAGTTAAAAAAAAATTAATTAAGGTTTAAGTGTTTCGAGAACTTTGGATGAAGGAACGTGCACTGACAGAATGATTTATACTCTTCGGCGTGGATAGAATTTGATGGAAATAATAAAATAAACTTAAACGTACAGTGTACATGGCCAATAACGCCTTGATTTAACCTTAAATGTAATGAAATTTAAAAAAATTATTTTTCTTCAAATTATCCTTTTGCAGCCTACCGTTGCACTGTTCTCTCTGTATTTCCTACGGTAATGACAAGGAAAATTTGTTTGCCAGTTGGGAGCTTCTTAAATTGATGATCGTTTCCATTTTCCTTATTACTTTTACATTTGATTCAAGGCTGATATTGTGAGGAGAAATTAGAACCCAGACTCTCTGAGGGCTTTTAAGTGTTAAATGTCCAGAACAAGACCTCGTTGCGACGTAACGAGGTCGTCACGAAGTCATAAGTGTTGGAGTGTATTAAAATCTTTTTTTCGCGACCTGGAGCTTGAGCATGCGCACAAGTTATGAATTTTAAAGTTTGATCATGGGTGCATAATGAGAAAGGGGAGATGATTTGCACCCTAGCCCTTCCCCATTCGTTAAATCAGAGGTTTCAAACCAGTTTATGCAAAATTCTTGGAATTAGGACATAAATCAAAGTAAATCTCAACATTGCACCATGAACATCAACACAGTTTTACACATTAAAACATTTGTGTGCAGTAAGAGCATTATCTTCCATGAAATACTGATGTTTTGCATAAACGAAGGGTCTTTTAAAAATTGTGGCCACTTTAAGGCTAACGGTTAATTTCTTTCCTTTGCGATTAAAAGAATCAATTTTTTTTTACGACAAACAGGTAAAATTTTTGTTGCCGTTTTACGGCCGGTGGTGAGCCCCATTAAGACTCTCAAAACCATCTGTTGTCGTCTGAGATAGACTTCTTAAAAGCGTGTATCAGACCCTGCGGACAGGATGAATCTATCGTATTTCATGGGTGAATATCTGATAAGGGTTGTTTCATTAATTCGGCCATAATCCACCAAACAAATAAGAGAACAGCAAAAGGAGACAAAAAAGAAGTTTAATAAAACTAAAAAAGACGTAAAAATTAAAAAGAAGCAGAGAATCGCTGAGAAATAGTTTGGATAAAGATGACTATCAATCACCATCACAATTACTGCATTTACATATAATTAATTTTATTGTTGATCTATTTTTGCTTCCTAGTGAACACGTCTCAAGGCTGTATTCTGCTTTCATCGATCTCGTCTGGGTTAGGTGAGATGTGCTGGCATCGGGAGTAACCGTCTTTTCGCGGAAGACAAACCATGCCAAGTCGACAAGGACACTCTGTCAACGAACCGGGCTAAATCGTGATAAGAAGGAAAAGAATGTGAATGATTCCTACATGAAAAAGCCTCTTACAATAAAAATAACTTCTTACTAACCGAGCGAGAGGAACGTGTCGGAAAATATTAGCCCGAGGTCGTAATCTTACTGCTTTTTTTTGTTTAACAGGAAGACATTCACACTTCAATGATCTTTATATTTGTCCTACTTCTGTCGCCTGTGAGACTAGTAAGTCCTTTAGCACGTCTCGCACGGCCACTTCGCTCGGCGCCTTTAGTGCGCGCGCTTGAGTGTGCGTGCCGCTCGCGCCAAAGTACCGATGAGAGTTAGCTCACAGGCTAACAGGATATCAGATGATAACATCAAGAATTCTGTTTGTGAGCAATTAATTAAGAGCATCTTTTGATGGGAGATCCGCCTTTTAGTTTTGAAATTGAGTTACCTGTTATGGTATCTTAAGTCTGGGACACGGCATTTTTTATCCCCTAGGGGGAGGGGTGGGGGATTTTGTGTCAGGATAAAATTTACCTAATCCTCTCTAATCCCACTCATTGGCAGTTAATTGGCAGTCAATTTTCTATAGTTGCCTCTTTATGGATGTACTCCGTTCGCGACGAATGATTTTCCCGCCATCCCCTGTTTTCCTTCCCCCCTTACCTTCCCTTCCACCCTTGCGGGCGTTGAATAATGACTGAACCCGGCCATTTTATATCATTTATTATCCACACCAACCTTCAGATATGGATTGCACGGTTCTTTTAGCTGTGGTTGATGGAGACAAGTTCCCTTCATTGTGGACGATAATCCAGCGCAGCACTGTTTAGGACTACAATCACTATGGTTGGAACATTTGACAAACAATTTCTAAGATAAAAAGAAAAGAGATACAATACAAAAAAAATGTTTATTCAGGGCTGCGTGATGTGCCTTGTCGTTTCGGCAAAGATATTTATTTGATACCTTTCGATATTTTCAAGACAATTCGTTGAGTATCACCCTGAAGGTCCTGCTTGCAAAGCTTAAGATGTTAGCAGCCTAGCTCTCTTTCAAAGAGAGATTTCTAAATGCACTGTTCGAGTTTCACGGGACTGGTAGGACCTTGCTTTTTGTCTCGACTTAAAGACTCACAATTTTTAAGCAAACTCGTTTAGCATCACTCATCCGAACTGAATCATCGGAACTGAATCAAATCTCGAAAGTGATCTCTTTTCCACTCAATGTGGTAAAACCCAAAACATAATAACATCATGGACCGATCAGAATAAAGAAAAATACCTCAAAGAGGCAATGGGAGCTCAAAGAAACATGCAAGCATATTACTTGAAGTACAGGAAGCAAATGTGCCTTAATATACTATTTTCAATAAAATTCAGATCACGTTTGTAGAGCGACTCGACCCTGTTGCATTACGTCAAAACATGCAATCACGTGACGCGTTCGTTGAAATTCTCTCCTCATGACAGAAACCGCGGAGAGCAATCACTGTGGCTAATCGCTTATGGTGATGAATAGGAGAAAAAATTGACAAATTATTTCTTATGTCAAACGCCACACTCTGCTTGATATACTTCGGGCGAAGTCTTCGCCCTGCGCGCCAGCAAATGCGGCCAAGTTACAAATGGTGTAGTCTTTTATCTAATCTTTAGATATGGTGACGCAAGTTTTATGGACTAATGACAGAGGGAGGTAAATCTAAACCACAGATCCTTTACAACGCTAATTTGAAAATTGCTCTAAAACGATAGAACGAAAATAACCTTTTGCAATTTTTTTAATCACAAGACACGAACATATCACGCTAAAACCTAACTTCCGTGATGTTGTGTTATCGCGTTTCGAAGTGAAACCTAACTTCACTGAATTTTGTCACGTTTCTGAAAAGGAAGCTATTCCAAATTTTCTTGTAAATTTAATTTGATTATGTGTTTTTAGATGAGGAGGAATAGAGCAGCTGCAAATCAATTTGAAGAAATAATTGGCCCAGAGAAGTCAACTGAGATAAGCGAATATTTGTGGATCCTGTTATAATTTTTGACGCTTTTGTACAACGTCATAGCTTATCTGGTATATCAGATCAGTTATTAGTTTTGCTACATTGTGAGATTGTGTTACAGAGTCAGTTTCCATGGCTACGAAGTATGTCAGTTCAATCTTTCTTAATAGTTCGTTTCTCAATTCAATATTTCTTTGGTTTCTCGTTATTGTTTCTTTTTTGAGTATATTGCTTTGTGAATTGTTATCGTGCGAAAATTTTAAAAGATGCATTCTAAATTTTATCCTTTTGTTCGATGTTTGCCGGTAAACTCGTATAATTTCCTGTAAATATACGATTAGCGGGTTTCTCTTTATTCAAACACTGACCCCAAAATTGACCATCTGTTTCATTCTATTTACGCCAAGGACAGTTTCTCCATTGCTGATCCCCGCACTAACAAAAATGCTTTTCACGTTTGAACCAAATTTGAGACCTTAATCACTAAATAGATCTGCGAGGCTTTTGTGTGTTAAGACATCAGACAATGTAAACGGAAGGTGGGAGGTTCCATTAAACCTTAAGCCTTAAATTTCTCCTTTATCTTGCACTATTGCCAAACATTTAATATCTCAATCTAATCAACCCACATGTTCAACAAGACGATATTGCTAAGTTTGGTCTATCTTCAACGAGGTTTTTGTCTTTTATAGAACGTGCTTCCCGACTTCATGTAAAGGTTTAATTGACCTTCGACAAAGTATCTGTGCGTATCTTATCTTATATTTGATGTTTGCCTGTTTTGCATTGAAGGAAAACAATATTCTCCCATTTCGAAAGAAATTTTGTAGAATCTTGAATGGGTCGCTCCCTCAAATAAATTTGATTGGGGAAATATTAGAGAGTATATGTTGACTATAAAGAGAAATGCTACATTTTCATCGGCCAATTCAGTTTGACAGAAGCAGAAAGGAGTAACCTTTATTAGTAATGAGAAAGTCTGTATGTAAAGCTAGAGATATTTCGGAAAATAATTTTTCTGTTCAAAAACCAAGATCAGTTTGTTCATGAGAAAGAAAGTTAAGAAACACAAGCCAGGAGCTAAAAACAAATGTTTGCCTCAAATTTATTGCTACTGTTTGTATTTCTTCGTTCAGTATTGCTTTCAATGCACCACGCTAAAACCAGTTCTACAAGATGTTGATACTCGCATACACTTAACAAATAAAAATAATCATTCAGTGGTCAGAGCCAACTTTCTTATAAGCAACATGCCCCACAAAAATTTCCAGTCTCGGCGTGGCATGCCATAATTTCTATCAGTCTTCCTGTTATCTTCTAGAACTGCGTGGTCGTGACAGGAAAGTATTGAAATACTATGCTCAACATGAGAAAAACTGGTTGTGACAAAACAACATAGTTAGGTATTTTTACCACAGATACTTAACACTAATTAATCTATGGTGGAATCAATCTATCAGGGTAAAATCAAAGCGAACTGTCATGCACGCTGAAATCTGTTTTAGACATTCCTGAGTAAAAATAACCTTAATAACTATAATGAGGTAAAGATTATTTAAAAATAAAACATACACAAAAATATTGTCTCGTCTTTCAAACATTTAAAAGGTACCCAATATTTGGATATAGTATTACCGGGGGTTGTGTATTTTCAAGTCGAATGATTGATCGTAGCAATTCTTATGTTATAAAAGCAAAATTGTACTCGAGTAATGTCCTCTTAAAAAAGAAATTCATCAATCAAAAACTAAAAAATTATCGATTTGTCAAGAGTATTTTGGAAAGACCGAGTTATTAATTTTGGCTTGCCGAGTTGTGACTTGAAAACACCCCTGAAATGTATTCACTTGTATATCTTTCTTGCACAAAAATACATTCCCAATCTTTCGTATATTTTGATATTTTCCATATCGTTGTGCTCAAATAAAGAATTTTGAATTAAGAGAATTGGATCTTTAGTTGACGCAGGAACTGATCGTTAAAAAGGAAATTGATATACATTGACAACATTGACTAAATTTTGCCAATTACATAAAAAAAATGAATCTTAAGCATCTACTGGCATTAGAATAACAAAGAGATTTGAAGGTCAGAAAGGTGTGGCAAATTGAAATTCGATGCGAAAATACCTCAACTATATCATGTTTAGCGATAAGAGAGTTTTCCCAATAGGTGGGTCGCCTTTGCTATAGAGAAATATCCATTTTGTACAATCCACGACTCACCACCAGTTGCGCATTAAACAGCGTTTCCGCTCGACATCACAACGCAGGACAGCGCTTTGTGTGGGCTTAAAAAGATGTTTTATTTCTACACGACCACTCTGCGACGAAAATAGAAACTATATTAAAGACCTTGGGAAGATTTTAGCATAATGGCAAGTAGGATGACTGCAAACCCTTGAGAGTAGACGTTTAATATTCTCGCTTGTCTCAGGCATATATTAAAATTGATCTGAGAAATTAGGTCAAATTTAATAGTTTTGCAAATTCACTGAAAGCAGGCAAAGCTCGATAGAAGACGATTGACAAACTATTACATGACTGCAGATTACTCAAATACAAAAATAGCAAAAAAGAGAATCCCTGTGTCGCAACTTGCCATAAAATAACCACGCAGTCAACTCCGGTATAAGAGTATGTTTTCTTTGGAGCCAAACGCAAGTTTTCAATCTTGATAGTATATTCGCTTTTATTAATAGCCGCCTCACGCTGTTCACGACTAATATGAGTTAACCGACATTGCTAAATTTATTACATTAACAAAATTCCTCTCCATTTCATCATCACCGAGAAATCTTCTTTTCGGATTTAAAATTATTCTGGTAATGTAGTTCTTTCCGATTCAAAATTGCAAATAATAAAGTTTCAATACTTCTTGTCTAAAAGAAATGAAAACAGATGTTTTTCGTTGTTGGTGTTACTTGTCATAAACTCAAACATTGTAAAGGGAAAACGTTCAAATGGAAATTCACGGGAAAATGAGACTTAGCCTCTTCAGAAAACCAAAAAATTAGACATTTTCAATCAGAGAGAGTTTTAGACTGTTTAAAAGCAATACTGTGGTGCGGAATTAATTTCTTTCATAGCAACTCAGATAAAAAAATTAAAAAGAAAATTACTCCTACAAGAAAATAAAATAAGAAACTAATAAACTTACCTGTGCAAAAGATATTGGTAGAAGAGAAGTAAAAACTATTGTACAGAGCAGGAATGATTTCATTTTGAATGATCAGCGACAATCGAGGGAGTCTTTTAGGAACACTTTCACTTGAAGATTACTTTATATCACTTTCGAGCTGGCGTCCTCTTTATATATGACTTGACTCGCCCCCGCTCTGTCATCAAACCATCGAATGTAGCGTTGTTTTCAACTTTTTGTCTATTTAAACCGGATGGTCATATATCACAGCATAATCACACGTTCCAGTTGACCCCGAAGGAAGTATAGTTCACGTGTACATGCATGCAGCAACTGAGTCTCACAACATCACTTACTCTATTCGTGCTAATGTCTGTGGCAGATGTTTCCAGAAGGTATAACATCGATTAAACAGCCCTTAGTGAGCAGAAAGGAAATCTAATACAAAATACGGATATAACGAAAATCCATTTAGAATCGAACAGCTAAAGGCTTGACGATTTCCAGCTGATTTCTAACCCACAGAGTTTCTGAGAAGCTCCACGGAGCAAGCAGTTGCAGTTTCGAAAATTTCTCATCGCGAAAATCACGTTTGAAATTATCTGAAAACAAACAGGCTTTCATGGGAAAAAAAGGTGAATTTCGCTGAAGGAAGTATTGAAATGTTAGCCACCAAGTTACACTTTGGAATAAAGAAAAATTTTAACTTCGTGATAAACAATTAGCTGCATCCTCAAAATCGATCGCTCCTTTTTTCGATTACCCTGTTTAAATCTATCTTTAGGAAAAGTGGCAACCCAGAGATATATATATGTATGTATATTTATTTCTTTCACCGCAACTCATTCTATTTTTCCATAAAATAACATAACTTTGAATCACAGATGCGAAAACTGTCACTTAAAAAACTTCAATCAGTTCTAGGTTTGTGAATTTCTTTATCACTTAAAATTCTGGCAAGGCAATTCAATTTTTTGTAAGCCCGGCTTGGAATTATAGTAACTGTCAAAGTGTAACAGCTGAAAATTAATATAAGTTCATGAATTTAAAATGGTTGCTTATAACTCGTAGAAGATTTTTGAAAAAACTTGTTTTTTTGCGAGTGTTTCTCATGCAGTGAAACTATCTTTCATTGGAAAAAAGAAAAAAAACTTAGTCAGTGGCGTTATACATCAAATTTTCCGTCACCTATAATTTAATTCTTTAACAATAACCACCTGAGTAAAAGGTTTTTCGTCAGAAAAATTCCGGTGTTTCAAGGTTCGCCACCCATTTCAAGAGAGGATTCAGGTATTACTAGCGAAACTCCACTGAAATGCTCAAAACTTTTCTAATTCAGTGCAATGGCCACTTCAGTTTTTAGGGCTAAGCATAATAACATTTTCTTGATGTTAGGCCTTGTGACAAAAGGAAAACAGCTTTAAATTGAAGTTTATTTACTGACTAGAAATAAATGAAAGTTTATTTACTCACTATATCTAAGAAAGGGAAGAGCGAAATGAGATCTCTAGCAATTTGCAAGCAGCTAAACAAACCTATTTCATTTCACGTCCGGACGAAAAAAAAATATCCTTGTCATTCACAATTCCGGTGAAACAGAGGTTTTTTCACTTACATCGTAGAAAACTATTTAACCTAATGCCTTTGTAAGCCCTCCGTTCTGAAGAAGTTAGATTGCTTTTCGTGTTCGCCTTTTCACTACGAGAGTAGTTTAAAAGAAATGTGCTCCTAATGAAAATTTCGCAACCTCTGAAAATTTCTATGACATGATAACTTAATTTCACCAGTATGAAATCGGCACGTTTTAAGGAACTTTACTTTGTGGGCGCTGATTTAATATACATTTTTATAAAAATGAAAAAAAAAAAATAGTATTGTACTGTGATGAATTACTCTTGGCAGGCTTGCCAATTATCTTAATGGCATAATTGATCTGATGCATTCAAATACTTTTTTGTTATGTAACAGTATCTCATGTAACTAAACTTGTATTTGTGGACAAGTTTTTATATATATTTTTTTTGTCATATTTTTAAATGAGAGTGTGTGAAAATTGGGCTTCAATTTTGCAACTCCATATGCAATGCTTTCTTGGTTTAATTTTCGTCTTTGTCTTTGCTCGAAAATCGTATTTTGACACATCCAAGACTAAGCGAAGTTATTTTAGCAAACAACTTATTTGAATCACAACGTATGCAAATAAAGCAGATGCCTTATCTCAAAGCGAAACGCTGCAAACAAAATTCGTTCCTGTGAAAAACTTCTGGGCATTTATTTCCACCAGTATTTTATTTTTGATTTTATGTTAAGCCTTTAGAGAGGGTTTGAATGAGTGATGGCTTTTACCGGCTAACGGTTACAATTTAGGCCATTTTACAGCTAACGGTTAATTCTTTTTCCTTGCGACGTAAAGGAACAATTTGACGGTGAACTCTTCTTGCAAGTGACGGTTGAAATTTGTCAAATTTTTCGCCTAACAGCAAAATATTTATCCCTTTCTTAAGGCCAACGGTTAATCCGAATGAGACCCTCTAAGCTTATTCTCCTATCTGGATACCGAACAATTTCTGATAAATAAATTAAAAGAATATGAGGCTACATCGAGATATATCTCGCGCTGATAAGTATCTAAATTCTCATCATTTCTCTGCTGAAAATACTTAAAAACTGTGAGGAGAAGTTTCCTTTCAAATCATGTCTCCCAGGAGTCGACTTAGGGTTCACAAGCGAAAAGAAAAAAGGAAAAAAAAATAGAGGTTACATCAGTAACTTTTCAAGTTTGTAACCCCAAAATTGAAAAGAAACTTCTCCCAGAAACCGCTAAACTCCTACTATGAGCTGTAACTCCAATAAGATGCATTCCTCGAAATACAATTGATAATGAATTCCAAATAAAGGTAAAAAATAATGGAAGGAGTGGCGAAATAAATGTCAACCAAAAATAGACTCAAGAAAAATGGTAACCCGCTGTTTCTCTAATGCAGAATTTGATTAAAATATGACATATTTATAGCTACAATATTTGTACTAGTGCGAAGGAAAACCTTTGATTTAAAAAGAAAATTGCATTGGGTTATTTACCATTTAATGATCTTGGATAGTTAATAACGTGTTACCATGGCCACAATGCCTTATAACTGCAACGTGTCAATCATTTTACCTTAGTTACCAATCTTTAAAAACTCGAGAACGTTTTCTAGTTTTACTACATTTCAAACCTCACATGTGAACAATTCGAAACTTGCTGGGAATGGCTGCCAAAAGAGAACACTATTTTTTCCTCCAGACTCAGTTTGCGCCATTAATCACAAACCATTAGACTTCCCGCCTCATAAAACCGCGAGTGGCGCATGCTCCAGGCGAGATTTGATTGATTCATGTCACTCAAAACAAACAGGAGTCTAGCAGACGTGTTACGCTAATTTTCCTTTAAAATGTTTGAGTAGGCACGACAAATAACGAATTCCTCCCTTTTGCTGGTGCCACCAGAAAAGCTTGTGACAGAATCCAGGTCATTTTTCACGATGAAAAATGTTCATCCGGAAAGTGCAGTTGTCACAAATCGTGCCCTGATCAGGCCCTTGGGATAAACAGCGTGAGCAAATCTAAAGCTGCAGCTGTTTAACTTCCTTGAGGGACACTTAACGTCTCATATTCACACCGCTTAAATGCGTTTTTAATAGGCTTTTAGGACAACAAAAAAGATGAATATTCTAGTGGCTTCCTGAAAAATCGCTCCTAAGCATGAGACCCACCGAAGACATCATTAGATCATGGCGTTTACATAACATTTAAGGAAAAGGAATACTCAAAAATATATATATATATATCCCAACGGGAAAAACGTGACTCGATTTAAATGAGGGGAGAAAACAAATTGGATGTTTTGTTTTTCTTTTGGCGCACGAACGTTTTCAAAGGAAGTTAAAAATGTGGATTCGTAAGTTTGACTCTCATGAAATTGTGAGCGATCGACTTCTCTCATTTTGTACTTTGGTTTTGTATTTGTTCGCAAACACTCCACGTAAAAAAAGGATCAAATGGACTTAAATTTTTAAGCAAAATATTAAAAAAAAAGTTACTATAGTGAAATAAAAAAGCTGCACAGACAACAAAATAAAAAACCTCCTGATAACTGCAATCCATCGTTCCTAAAATACCAAACAAACCAAACACTGTACATGTTTATGAGAATGCTTATAAATGTTTTATTTCCTCTTGGTTCTTTAACAATGAACTTACCAATAAATTTGTTAATTCGAGTAAACGCCTTGAATGAACAAGAGGAACTTCGCAAGAGCGTTCCAATAAAATGTTTATCTCATGAATTTATAGATGTCTATCTTTTCTCCTCGTTTTCTTACGACTCGTCGAAAAAACATGCTTTCCGTACGAAGGCCATTCTTCTCGCACTCGTTTCTGATTTTTACCTTTACCGGAAATGCACTTTTAAAAGTTTGTTTATATCTTTACTGCTTGCAAAACTTTCGTAAGGGTCATTGAACTAGATATTATACCCATCCAGAATTTTCTCCTATGAACTGTTTATTAGGTGTTAGCTGTCGATGTCAAGCAAAGGATCTTATACTACAACTCATTTGTCAAGCAAGTAATGATGTCTGGCTCTTCTAATGAACCTCCTGTTCTGTGGATAATCTCACCAAAGTCCTAAGGCAACAAAACGCGCAGCTCGTGTTCTATTAAACGCAGACACCAGGGACAATAGTGTTAAGCTTCTCTATTAATTAAGATGGCCTCCATGCAAAATAAATAAGTGTTTACTCATTCATAAGTGCCTGGTAGGTGATTACCCTCAATATATGAACAGTTTAATTACAAAGAATTCCGATATAAATCATAGCAAAAGTCGATACGGAGAAGGGAACCTTGTCTGTAAGAGATTTAAAAGGGAAACTGAGGATGGCAGGACGTTCTCAGTAAGTAGTGAAAAACTTTGGAATTCGTTTCCAACCAGTGTTAAAGACAAAATTAAAATGTCAAATTCAAATTCAGATCTACGAAAATGCCTGAATGAATAGGGACATTCGTCATGTTAAAGTAAATTAGCATTACCATTTTCTTTCACTTTTTTGAATTGTTTTCAATTTTTCTCTTTTTTAATCTTTATCAATGTTATATCACTACAATTATATTTTACATAATATTAATTTAGGGCACGTTTATATATATATATAGATATATATATATATATATATATATATATATATATATATATATATATATATGATATTTTCAGTATATACAAAGGACATATCTGATGAAAGAGGGCCACAAGTTTATCAGTATTGTAACTGTCCCGTGCTACCCTCGATAAATAAAGTCGGATTGATTGATTGATTGATTGATTGATTGATGTGCCCTTTGATATGGTTTTCTGCGTTGGCACAAATGTTTCCCGCGTTTGCTTAAGGTTTCACGCGTTCCGTTCCCGCGTTAGTTTAGGCAAATGATTCCAAAATTCAATATTTCCAAGCATTTCCAACGGGCCACTTCTATTCCCACAAAATTTCAAGGGGAAAAAAAACCTTAATTTAGAAGGATATTCGAATATTTTCTTCAACACTATTTGTTATCTCTTGTTGATTTGGGTGTTTTAAACGACAGAGCTGGGTACGAAACGACTGAGTACGAAACCATGGTTTCGCTCAGTTGTAATAGGTTAGATGTTTTTTTTTTCACGTCAGATGCTCTCCCACATTTGCAACGAGTTACGCATTCCATCAATTTCTCCTCTTTTGCAGCTAATTGTATGTTTTTCCCCGTTTGCACAATGTTCGATGTTTTTTTCGGCGGTTGCAAAGGGTTAAATTCTTGCCTCTGTCTAAAACGAGTCACGCACTCCAACGTTAATCCCAGTTTGCGTTTTCCCCGCGATAACACGATTTGTGCCATTTGGCGATGTATCACCTCCAAACACATCTACTCGAGACGGGCTCACTTTATTTCAAAAACATCTAAAATTCCAAACAATTTACAGCTCATTGCAGTGAATAAGTGAAGCTGAGGTAGTTTCAACACAAATTATAACATTCTTCATCCAAGTTCCAAGAAAGTTAAGCTTATCTACGAAAAGGAACACGAATTCTTCAACAATTTCCACTAATTTAAGAACACGCTCTCTGATCTGCGGATCAGATCTACGCTAGTTACCCTAACGGACGAGAGGAAGAGTCTGGGAACTAAAAACGGACTTTCTTAGATCTCTAAAGGCCTATTTACACGGCACGACTTTGTCGCATGCGACAAGCTTACGACAGGCCTACGACATGTTCGAGTTGTAGGTTTGATTTACACGAAAAGAGCTTGTCGCATGCGACAAAGTCGTACCGTGTAAATAGGCCCTAAGCAAGAAAGATGTCATTGATAATTCCGTAGAAAAAATTACATCACCAACATAAATTCGAGTTTCAACATCCAAGCTCAACATTTACCCCTACTAATGACTGGCTTCAAATTTCTCCTTAAAGTATCAACCGTTAATCAAATATAAAAGTCGCGAGTATAAAGGAAATGGTCATCAAAAAAGTTCTCCTTGTCATTACCACAAGACGTGTAAAGACAACGGCGTGAGGAATACGAATATAAATGCTAAGGTGTAAAAAAAGCGTTAAAAAATTCACTTCACGGGGGCAATCTGAAAGGCAATACTTGTCGTCAGCTGAACACCTCTCTAAATGCAATAGCTATTCTGACTGATTCAAAATCACTCTGAATATATTACGGTAAAGCAAACTGCGACATATACTACATAACGAAAGATTAATTTTTCTACGAAAGAACAATGGAATTTCTTGTACAGGTAAGTTCTTGCAACTCTGAACAACAACAACAACAAAATAATAGAAAATAATAAATTTCATTAGGTTGATTCGCGAGAATTTGCAATTTTCACCAAAATATGAAACGCGAATACATTCGTTTAACTATCGGAATCTGAACAAACTATTCCGTGCTTGACGTTTCCTTGTGGATTCTCCTTGGCCCGCGACTTCCACTTGGTTTTGGAGGCTTGGCAAACTTCTGTCTGATCAAGTCCTTACGGGGGTGAAGTTGATCGTGTAAGAACTCTTCGTTCAGTTCCTTAGGGTCGGACGTTTCAATCTGAGAAACAAAGCATGTAAGGGACTGGTGATTTATTAATGTAAGGAACTGCTGGAAATAAATGGTCACTGGTCCAACCAAGATATAGTTAAATGGTGGAGTTAATAATTACTACGAAGGCACAAGTCTACAAAGTCATACGGCCACGAATGCAGGAAAAGAAGGACAAAGATTTTTAGGGAAACACAATGAATGGAATGATAGAAAGGTGAGGGCAAAGACGGGAAGGGAAAATGGGAACGAAAAAGAAGCAAAAACATTTAAAGAGGCAACGAGCGCGTTACATTAAGCGATGTAAAAAAATTTGGTGGCAGTGCTGACAGTCAAGGACCCGGTCATTAATTATTGTCGGGGAGGGGGAGGGGGAGGCGCTTTGGAGAATTTTGGTTGTGTCGTGAAAATATTTACCTGATTCCCTCCCCCCCCACGGATCTGTAATATTTATGACCCCAACCACCCCCCTCCCCCCATCTGTAATATTCTTATCCCCCGTCACTAGAAGACAATTTTCTATAATTTCCTCCGTTTCTAAGCTATTGGCTATTGGCGACGACTGACCCCACTATGTTCCCCCTGTAAACCACGTGATCCCGCCAAATTCCACCACCCCTCCCCCTTTCAAGGCGTCTAATAATCAAGCGCTAACACGCTAGCCTATTATCAACACTATAAAAGCTGGTTTCCAGCAGGGGCGTGAATTAAGCATAAAAGTTAAAAAATACTTAAACGAACTTGGGTGTCAAGTCATCGGGGAATCTTGAACATTTGTCTAGCGTTAATATGAATTATACCCTCTTTAAATAAACTTATAAAAAATAATGACTCGTTCCTAAATACTCACCTTCTTTTCGATTTCAAGACCAAGAGATGCGGCTACATCTAACAGCGGGCCCTTACATGTAGAATATAACATGCGATCCTTTATCGAACATTTGTATCCAGGCATTGAATACACAAACACTGCAAAGTAGATCGAAAGAGGCGATGAAAGAGTTGAAGGTCTCACCAACGAACACACTGAACCCAACACCAGAAAAAGAAAAGCGCTGTCAGTTTCAACTTCGGTGAAGGGCGACAGCTGTAGGATCACAACCTAAGGTCTAAGTAATCTTCCTAAATATATTTCGTCTGACGTAAGGGAAACGCATATTGTACGCGTCGCTTCTTTCTGAAGGTTTGGTCGCCATCTCGGACTGACGGACTACTCGCCTCGATTTCATGGCAGAGCTTTGAATCCCGTGGCTGAGTGAAGTCCCGCGGTTTAACTCGTTTCGGTCTGGATGCCATGGGAAATTATGTAAACAAATTATAGGAACTCACAGAACTGTGAGCCACGCTATCTTCGATGTCCGTAGGTTTATGAATACCCTAGAACTTGTTACGCCGAGACACACATATTCATTCCTATTCAGATCATACACTCTTTATTAATTAACGATCATGGCTAAATCGTTTGGTCTTGTCAAATGAGTCGATGAAGTAAATTTTTCACCGTAAAGAGTTTCTAAAACTGACGTTTCGAGCGTTAGACCTTCGTCAGAGCAAAGGGCTAAAGCTTGAAATGTCAGCTTTGGAAAATCCTTACAATAAACAATTTACATTTATACTCCCTCACTGACGCGGTGGAAAGAAACTCACCCCCTTCATTTACTCAACGTTATTGGTAATTTCTTACCTATGGATTCCAAGAAGTCGCCTTCAAAGGTGTGTTTAAAAAGATAGAAAACATATCGTCCTTTGTCTTCAGGAACATTTTGTGCCAAATCGTTGGCATGAACGTTCTCCTTGGTTTCCGCAAGTACAATTGTTTCGTTCTCTATGTTAAGTTCCTGTTGAAAAAAAAAAAGAGATTTATTTTTAATTACTAAATTTTAAAACTACTTATCTCCTGATCTTTAAAGCATGCATTTTCGCAATGGGACCCTTTTTAGCACGTCCTTGTAACTTCACGGGCCCGAAAAGCTGAAACAATATCACAAAAACACAAAACGTTAACGATACTCTGTTTCTGAAGTTCTGTAATAACGTATAACTTACTAATTGGACCAAGCTTAATTTTTTATTTTTGAGCTCCGTCAGTTTAGCCCGAGCCTCATCAGTTACTGGAAACTGGACACCAGTCATGTGACTCTGTTTGCTGTCTACACTGATGTCTGCTCGCATCTGTAATTGGACAAAAAAAAAAAAGAAACCTTGTAAGCACATTTGAACCATGACATTTAAGATAAAGAAAAGCTGGTGTACTACTGAGGGCAAGATCTAATGTTCTCCTTGGGAGAATAAATGGGTAACATGAAAGTGCACAGAACTCAGGGAGTAAGGTGCCTCACTCCCACAGTCCCGCAATGTAAGTTTAAGTCATATTTTGGCGGATCTTTTTAGATTCGAGCGACGGACTTCGCCGAAAAGAAGAACTGTTCAAAGTTTAACCTTTCCTCAGTTTGCAAGGTCTCACTGGCAAGCTCGCGGGTAGCCACTTGCAAACAGCCAGTATTCATTTGAAAACTCCCGGGTGGAATGAGACACTGAAGGAGTTAACTCTGTCGCTCCCGAAATCTGTTTAAACTAAATACTCTGTCTGCTATACATTTCATATTATTTAAAATCTTAGAATTTGGTGTGAATTCATACAGTATCTGATAATTGATCTGTTTTTATCTTTTCATTACACCATTCTGCATGAAACTGTTTGGGAACTGTAAGGAGAAATTCCATTTTGGTCACTACTAGGAGTGAAAAGGTTATGTGTCTAGTTCAAAACACCTGAAGATGACCATCTCCAGCCTGAAACTGTTTTGGAACAGTAAGGAGAAATTCCATCTTGGTCACTACTAGGAGTGAAAAGGTTTTGTGTCTAGTTCAAAACACCTGACCAGCGCTTAGACATCATGATTTGGAATCCATTGACAATAAGTACACCATACCTTACAGCTAACCAAACAAAACTCTCTTTAAACTGTTTCTTTCCAAAAGTGTGTATCACACCTGCCTTTGCAAGTTAGCAAATAACAAAAACATCTAGCCACTTTACTCAATGCACATTTCAAAAGCTCCATACAGTGACAAAACTTTTCAATTTCCAGATTTCAAGTCCCATGCTCGTTCAGAATATGGCCAATTGCATTCAAAACAAAATTCCAGGCCATCAGATCTCTTACCTCTTGCTGTTTCACCATTTCAAGTTCCAGCTCTTGAGTAGTCAGTGGAGGTGGGGCACTTTCATGAGCTTTGTGTTTCTTGAATCCATTTAATGAAACATCAGACTAAAAAAATACAAAAACAAAAACACAAAAACAAAAACTGATGAAAAAAAATCAAAGTTACATGTTTATGAAATATTAGCATCTGGTGTGCCCAAACAGGTTTTCTTTGTGTGGAAAATGAATGGTCCAACTGCACATGAAGTTGATAAAACTAAACCAATACAATTAACTGTTTACACTCTAACATCAGTATGTAGATTCTCCATACTGTTCTCCATAAATTTCCTAAGGTACTGACAAGGAGAATTTGTTTAACAATCAAGAGGTTCTCAGTCATATCTTTCATTCTCTTATGTTTGATCCAGGGGTAAGACTGTTGGGAAAAATTAGAAGCTTATGACCCTAAGGCACTAAAGGGTTAATAATATTTTCTTTATTATTGTATTTTGAATAACATCACACAACCATAAAGCTGTTTTGTTTTGTTATTTAAATCCTTGAGTGGTAGTTGATTGAGCAGTCTCCAGCATGTGGGTGATTGGGCAAGAGTAGTCTTAAAAAGAACTGCTGTCAGGATTATTATTTAACCCTTTAACTCCCATGAGTGATCAAGACAGAATTTCTCCCTGCAATATCAATACAATATTAATTGATCTAATACCAAATTCTCCAAACTAACATCACGAGAACTGTATGACAGATATAGTGCAGAAAACTATTGGGAGTTAAAGGGTTAACTAACACTTCAACAAGCTGAGCAGAGGTTTTCATCAGAGCCAAAAGACCTAAAATGGATGATATACAACTCAGTATCACCTCACGAACGTTAACACTTTCACTCCTAAGATCTCCTTACTGTCTGCCATGCAATTCTTGTGATGTTACTGAGAAGAACTTGCTATTGGATCAAGTAATAATCCACTAGTTGATACACAATGTATGTCTTCATAATCTCATCACTCATTTACTTGATATTGTATTGATATTGTAAGGAGAAATTATCCCTTGGTCACTCATGGGTAAAGGGTTAAACATTAAGTTCTTTCTAATGATCACGATTCACACTCCCAACCCTTTAACTCCCACATGTGACCAAGACAAAACTTCTCCTTACAATTTCGATGCAACATCAAGCAAACAAGTTGTGAGAATAAAGAAATATATCAATTATTAGATAAGCAGTTGATCAAATATCAAATCTCTGAACTAACATCCAAAGACTTGTATGGCAGACAGTGAGGAGAATTTTCTACTGAAATTTTGGGAGTAGGTTAAAATTACACAGAATATTACATACTTGATTTGTTCCAAACAATTCATCTTTTATATGACCTCCTCCAAACTCCTGCTTCAGAGTAGCTTTTGTTCCAGCAAACAACATCTTCCGCTGAGGCTACATGAATAACAGACATGCAGTTGTTACATATAAAGTCAGCCTGCCATTTCTTAGTTGTGTTGGGTTAAGAAATGAAACTGGGGACTAGAATAAAATTTTTTATTCTAATGGTATCAGGTTAGATAAAAACAAACACTGACACCTAGAATTTGTCGTCTGTGCTTGAAAATTTCTGTCTACTGTAGTCATCAGCTAACCTCTGCATAATGTGGCTCAGCAGAGCTTTCATGGTTTTCAAATCTGGCTGCATGATGCTCACTTACACTAAGACAATGGGAAGGCTGAAAATGCGGCAATGCCATGCTTGGAGAAAAGTTCCCCCACTACCCTAAATAGCTAGCTCTTTCAGTGCCATGTTGTCTGAAAGATGTCATAAAACACAAGGGGAGATATGCAGGCTATTAGAAAAAACATTAACATGGATTATTAACTTGCAAGGTTTAACTAGGCCAGACATTTGGGAAAACAATTTTTTTCAATTTCCAATAAAGGGCACAAACATTTGAAACAACCTACATTAAACTATTTTTAATAAGGTAATAGCATTCAGTATTAATGATTGTAAATGCTTGACCTCAAAATTGCCCTTTATGCTTTTCTTAGTGATTGCTGTTCAGAAAGCCAGCTGGTGAATTTCGCTAGCAGTCAGTGCTTAGCAACAATGCACAAACAAGTATTCTAATTCTAGAAATGCAATTAGCTCACCTTGGAAAAGTCAGGAGAGTAGGAGATGAACAGCCACTCATAGCCTTGGTTATTTTGGCTGTCCAATCGATAAAAGATATAGCAAGGTTCTTTCTCTTCTAACAGAGGTAGAATTGATTTGTCATAATGTGAAAACAGTCAAGGATTTATTCAAGTAAAAGTTACGCAAAGTGATTTCAACTTGTGGTTACAGTGGCATGACAAAAGTGATAGCATTAATTTTGTAAGGATGTGTTTAGGTTAAAAAGGCTTAATCTAACAGTAAATCCAACATAAACCCAGCAGTTACATGTTTGAAAGCAACAAATAACAGACAACCCCAACCTGCATGTTATTAAGAGATCATTAGTAGATCATTAGTAGTGCCCTCTCTGGGGGATTAGTTCAAGAGTGTATATTTTCATGTAGTCATATCAAGTTCACACCCTTTGTGTTGCTTGCTGATTTATATGTTTTTACACATTTAGAGATAAATTATTGGTACCACTTATTATTGTAACTTTTTTGTTGTTGTTGTTGTTCAATGTATAATAAAACAATTAATAGATTCAGTTTTAGTGATATCCAGAATAATCAAGGTCTCAGTAAGGGTTATCAGCTGAAGCCAAAGGCTTTAGCTGATAACCCCTTCCTCTACCTTGATTATTCTGGATATTACAAAAACCTCATCCAATAATTGTTTATGATGCTATTCTGAGGGAGATGTGGCAGACTAATGGCTAGTGCCATGGACTACTAGTCAAAAGGTCCGGGATTGAAACCTGACCAGCAGGAAGTAGTGATATTCATTGTTTTTTCATTCTAAGGAACCACAATAGGCTCCTGCTGGCTGGGCCACTTAGCTAATGAGTACAGATTTTAACTACTGCTAACCCAGGCAATCTCACCCTTAATATAATCATTTTAACCATCATTATCATTTTGATCATAATCAGTCACACAGTAAATTATTGTGCCTATGATGTGCCTATGACCCACCCTTAACTCTTTAAATCCCAAGATCTCATTAGCGATTCTCCCTACTGTCTGTCACACAGTTCTTGTGATGTTAGTTTGGAGAATTTGGTATTGAACCAACTTTTAATATTGTAACTAACATTTTTCTTTACTTTCATTACTTGTCTGCTTGATATTGTACTGATATTGTAAGGAGAAATTCTGTCTTGGTCACCAACAGGAGTAAAAGGGTTAAGAGTAACTAGCCTCTAATTTTTCTTCACAAAATCACCCCTGAATCACACATTAAGGTGACAAAAATAAAGCAAATGAAAACCAACCAGAGAAGCTCTTGATGGTTAGACAAATTCTCCTTGTCAGCACCTTAAAAAATGCATGAAAAACAGTAAGGAGAATATGCATACTGATATTAGGGTGTAAAGGGTTTACTTTCCTAAGACATTCTTTGACAGACTCAGCTTTCTTTCTCTTAAAAAAAAAACAAAAAAAAAAAAAAAAAAAAAAAAAGCACAGTTAACTATTTTAACAACCAGTCTTTGAAATCAAAACATAGTGGACTTTTAACATTTCAAGGATATCATTCTCCCAGTCTCCATCAGCTTCCTTACTACTGGTACAAAGTAACTGCTCTGGAAAAAGAAAAAAAAACAATACAATAAAGCAATTAATACATTTTATGAAAAAAGGTATGTATCTAATATGCAGAGTGTATCATGGTAGAATTCTTTTTTTTTCATAAGTTCAGCTTCCCTATTATTTTGGTTGTTATTTGGTAATTTTTTTTTTTTTTCAGTTAATTTTTTCCACACTCATGAAAGACCAAACAGGAAATTCTCTTGTCCAAGCTGAAGCTATGTTTCAATAGCCTTTTTTCTTTCTAGCATTTGTCTCCTTCCAATTTTCAAGAAAAAAATGAATAAAGAAATAGGCTTAGCAAAATTTTAGAGGCAATCACTGCTACATGATTTCATTAACTTGTTTGTGCTGCAAGAACTAATCACTCTGTGCTATCCTAATATCAACTAGAAGGTAAGTTTGTTAAGAAATTGTCATCTTGCGACTGTGAGGGGTATTATAAGGTACATGTAATTTTAGTATCATCAATAGCAGGGATTTGTTTTCCATTCTGAAGAGGGGCTAAAACTCAAAATCTCAGCTTAAAAATTTTGTTACAGAGGCCAACTTACACTAACAACTCAGTTGATAAAAGCAAATTCTCTTTATGAACTATTGCAAAAATTGGGGCACCAATATTGTTGTACCATCTTAAGAAACTGTATAGCTTATAATTTTTGTTGTCTTGGGTAACTTAAACCCATAAAAATACTTTTGTATAATATGTAACCTTGGGCACAGTAAGTATTGCAAAAACATAAATGAAACATTAACCAAAAAATTACTCACCATCCTGAATATCCACCTTAATAACTCTTATTTTTCCCATTTTGGCTCTTGCAAAGATAGCCTTTAGTTCTTCATTTGCTGTGTAAAATACAATCAGGGTAAGAAATTACTGTAATGATTTAATTGAACACACACTTGAAAATAAGTTCATCGCATTATTTTACTAATGGCTGGCAACAAGATAAATATAAACAGGCCCCAGTTGTTCAAAGTTCGGATAACACTATCCACAGGACAAATCTTTATCCGGTGGATAATGCCATACATTTTGAAATCACTTATCTGCTGGATAGCAATTTATCAGTTGGATAGCATTATCTGCCCTTTATAAAACTGGGCCCACTGTTATATTTTATAAACTTAACCCTTTACATCCAAACATCAGTATGCATATTCATGTTCATATTCATAACAATCAAGATCTTCCTCAGTTATTGATCACTTCCTTTTATCTCCTGACCCCTAAGGTGTGATTTGGGGTTGATATTGTAATAAGAAATTAGATGCTAGTCACTCATAAGGGTCACAAGGTAAATTCCTTATCTGACACTATTTGAAGAAAACTTCCAATTTACCACCTCTTGACAAAATACACATTTGCTTCAATTCACAATGACGCTATTGACAGATGTTGTTTGGGGGGGGGGGGAGGAGGAGGGGTCAGACAAGTGTAAAGGGAAATAAATCAGTGTAGTAGTCCGTAGTTTCATCAATTTTTGTATCTCCGATTTTTGTTCCTCCATATAAATTTAGATTTATCAGTTTGATAAATTTAATGAGAGTGTGTAACAAAACTCGCTGTTATTGATAGTTAATCGCATGGGGTTCTGCCTGTGTTTGAAGGTTTAACAAGTTGTTCAGTGCATACCATCCATGCCGCGGAAAAATCTTTCAAACTAGTATGCAAATAACATTGAACAAAAAATCAAGAGAGGGAGGCTGTATAAATCACTTCTTAATCCAACTATACTATTTATATCATTCAAAACAGCTTGGCGAAAATTTCCGCTCAATATCTTGAATATCTCTGTCCTTTAAGCTCAATTCACACCAGCTACCAGTTTGTTGTTTCTGTTTTGATATTCACAATCAAACCTATTTCACAGCAGGAACAATCTTTGCCATTCAGAGTTAATACCCTGTTGCATGACTTTTTTAGCAGAACCTTTGATAAGTTAAAGCCGCGTTACTTAGTTTAAACCTTCCGCAAAAATCGACACGACGTCTAAGATCGAAGTAAGCGGAGCTCGATGTAATAATGAAATTGACGAATTCCTTCGAGAAAACCTGGCTTTCCAAAAAATCAAGAAACCTAAAACTTTTCCTGTAAACTTACCTTGAATGCCGGTTTGATGAGACATTGTTTCGAAGGAAAATAACAAAACAGAAATTGATCACTCCTCCAAGAACACAACCGTGTCAGTTCTTCAAGGGACCGGCCATTGATGTGACGTCACCGTAGCGTTCGTGTCGTCACTTCCGCTTGGAGTAGGAAGTAAATGGTGAGTTTAACAGATTACGCAGACTATTATAAATTATTTAACTCGTAAAGAAAACAATTTTTTGGTCAATCGTCTTTTATGTTAAATATTCTTAGTCGAAGCTTTTGAAACTGCTCTTTATACGAAGAGATTTCAGATCGTTAGCAATTGTACTTCGATTCATTAAGGACCTCTGGGGAAAATAACTCGCCCGAACATTTCAGACTATTTTAATTGTCAGTTTCATCATGATTTTTTATTTTTTTTCAAAATAAGCTTATAGTTTTATTTCTTTTGCTAGATGTTTCCTGCGCGTTACAAATTACCTTGGTAGTGACATTTCGTGACAGCATAGTATGTCAGCGGTAGACAAACCCACAATTACTATAAAGAATTAGAATTGTAATCAGTCAAATGAAATGATATATACGTAAGAAAATAATCAAAATTCCTTAAAAAGACCTCTAATTTTCAACCTAGGCTATAAGTCGTATATTCAATGCGGTAAGATAAAATAAAATCAACATTTCCCCTTCTTTACTCTCGATCAACGTTTGTACCTTATCTGATCAAAGAATAAACTCTTCTTACAAAGAACTGCTCGACACGTTGCAAGGCGCTTCGTGGGGTTAACATTCTCATTTTCTATAACCTTTCATGTTTTTTAGTTCCAGGATCGTTTAACGGTCGATTAGATTGAGAGAATGAAAGCTCTAATACTCGTAGGAGGATATGGTACAAGACTTCGACCGCTAACGTTGTCAAAACCCAAGCCATTAGTCGAGTTTTGTAACAAACCAATGGTAATGCATCAAGTTGAAGCCTTAGCTGAGGTGAGTTGGCTAGATCACGGGATTTTAAGTGAGTAGCTTAAATTACCGTCGAATATTTCGTTCCACGCTGATTTTTCAAGGATGAGATGCGCAAATAATAAAATTATTCAGCAAAAATGACACTGATCTCTTATTTGATCGAGTGTTGGGGAATTTTCTCAAGTATAATTTTGCTTTGAATATGGGCCCCTTAGAATATTTTTGGAGGGAATAATTCTACTCCAGCTATCGTACTTATTTTTTATTCCTTCTTTTCAATTGAAAGTCGTTAGAATATTATTTGATTGAAGAGAAATCACTTCAAGAACCAAATTCAGGTTAAATTCCTTATTCATTGACATCAAAAACAGTAGATATTTTGTTAAAACGTTGTATACTTAATAAATAAATCTCTTATTGGGATTCTCAGAGAAACATGCACTCTGATTATGCACTCACTTTCTCTCTGATTTCTCTCTAACATCTTCGAACTGAAAGTCCTGTGCAATTTTTTCATTTAGGTCAACAATGTATTCTCAGTTATAAAAACTGAACATATTTACTCTTGATGAATATCATGTCCCTTCTTGTCATAATTTTAATATATCGTCCTTCAAACTGGCTATGAGAATTGATGACTCTATCAGCGGGAGGGTGTCACTTGACATAACGACAAATCCCTTTTTATTTACATGAAAATGGGAAGATGGTAAGGGGAAACTGTTAAAATAGATTTTCAGATTATTAAAATCCCAGACATGAGAGGTTGCTTTTCTAAAGGTGTGCATGATTTTCATCTGATAATTTAATTATTACCTCCTTAAAGGCTGGAGTGAAACATATCATTCTTGCAGTCAGTTACCGTGCAGAAATGTTAGAAAAAGCCATGAAACAACAAGAAGATAGGGTAAGTTAAAACACACATATTTTCCTCCCATAGTTATGAGAGAATATGAACTGTAAATATGAAAACCTGGGATTGGGGAGCTTAACCCTTTAATTCCCAGAATTGATTAAAATGGAATATCTCCCTATTATATCCAAACATTATCCTGCAAATAGGTATTGAGAAAACTCCAACTTATCATGCAGATGTTGTTATCTTGATCTAACATTAAATTCCTATAACTGATTTACAAGGAAATGTGTTGCAGCTGGAGGGGAGAATTGACATTCAGATCTAGGGAGTTAAAGGGTTTAAGAGAAGTTTAGACAAAACTGGAGGTTTCAAACAGCTTGTCTGTTTGAAACAAATCTGCTTATTTCACCACCCTATGCTAAACAAATTGAAAGCTTTGTGATATATTTACTTCACAGAGCTGCATCTTAGATTTGGAGACAGAACTCCTGTCACATACACCAAATGATATAACCATGCATGCAGTGGTCTAACCCAGTTCAAGAGTCTAAAAACTATCCCTAATTAATACTTGCATTACAGTGACTCAGAGTTACTTTTTTTAGATAGACCCTTGAAACAATGCCCTGTTTGTTTGCTGGATTTGTAAAGGCCAAAAAGAAGGAGTTTCTTGGCCCCCTACATGATATGGACTTATTGACTGATTGGAAGGGCTGGAAAGAAAAATATTTGGCCGTTAATCATTGACCAAGAGCTAAACATTTTCCAGTCCAGCCTGACTTAACTTAAAAGTATTGTCTCATATCATAAATGAGATCCCCTCTTTGCCTTTTTTTTCTGTTTTGCAACTCACCACCACATACATGGGATATAGCACTTTTTATGATCTTGCTATTGCCGTCGCATTGGCCCTGATGCAGTTTTTTTTTAATGTTTCTCAATTAAAGCTTCTGTATTTTCTTCCTTTTTTTCTTTTTTACAGCTAGGAATTACAATCACAATTTCACAAGAAAAAGAGCCCTTAGGAACTGGTAAGATTAATCTGATAGTGTCCACCATATAACAGCTTTCCTTAGTTGTGTACCTACAAAGAAAAATGTTTGCTGATATTTTTAAAATCAGTAGACAAAAACTAAAACAAATTAACCACCAAAAACAAAACAAAAGAACTAAACAAAAAACAAAAACAAAAAGTGAAAAAGGGGAAAAAGGCAGAAAAAAACAAAAAAGAAAAAAGAAAGGGCTAGAAAAAAGGAAAAGAAAAGAAAAACAGAGAAAAAATGAAAAAATATAGAAAGAAAAAAGAAGAACAGAAAAACAAAAAACCAGTTAACTGAATGTGCTGTTAATATTTTGTGGTCATACATCTCTGAGGGTCACTGTAGAGAACTGTTTATTAATTGTTTAACTCCCATGAGTCAAAGATTCAAGACAGGATTTTTCCTTACGATATCAATGCAATATCAAGCAAACATGTGATTAGAATAAAGAAAAATATTTATTGGTTGATCCAATACCAAATTCCTATCACTAATTTTGCAAGAATTGTATGGCACACAGTAACAAGAATTAATCTTGACATTGTGGGACTGGAAGGCTTTACAATCACTGGTACCACCTCTGTGAAATTTCTCTGAAAATGAAAATGCAACAATTTGCAGAAAATTAATCAGAACTTTTCCTTTCAGCTGGTCCCTTGGCTCTAGCAAGAGATCACCTCACAGTTGACGAGGAGCCTTTCTTTGTGTTAAACAGTGATGTTGTGTGTGACTTCCCTTTTAAACAAATGTTAAAATTCCACCGAGATCATGGAAAAGAGGGCACAATAGTGGTAAGTTCTGATATCTGTTTGAATTTGAACTGTCAGTTTTTTCATCACAAAAAAAATATACTTTGATTTAAAAGAGAAAAAGAAATTGAAAGAAAATTATTTGTACACACTTGTTGACTGACTTTTTTGTTGTGTATTGGTAAGAAAATTGACCCTTTAACTCTCATGAGTGACCAAGATAGAATTTCTCTGTACAATATCGATACAATGTTAAACAGAAAATTGACGAGAAACACTTGAATTATCATCCCAATTGGGACCTTCACTCAGGGATAAACACCAGTATAACAGGGTAATTTAATATTATCAACTGTGTTGATAGCATTAATTGGCCACCATAAGTTCAAGTGTTAGCCTTTAGTCATTTGCTCAGAGGAAGGCCTAACTCTTGAAACATCAGCTTTTTTAAAAACTCTTTATGGTGGCCAATTTACACTCCCCTGCCAACACAGTGCCACGGTTTCTTTAGAAACTCGCCTCTTTGATAAATACCCATAGTCTTGGGCCACTTGCCTTATGACTTATTACACTTCATTTCGCTTTTTTTTTTTCCCAGAACATTTCCCCATTTTTGTTCAGTATGTGAATCTTTTAGAGTCTTCATATTAATTCAGTGTATTAAAGAATGCCAAAATTCACTATGTATTGGGCAGCTGGATTAATTTTATCTTTCACAAAAACAGGTCACTAAAGTTGAAGAACCTTCCAAATATGGTGTGGTTGTTTATGATGCTAAAACAGGACGGATTGACAAGTTTGTGGAAAAGCCACAAGTTTATGTGTCAAACAAAATAAATGCTGGCTTGTACATATTTAACCCAAAGATGTTATCAAGAATTGAGGTGAGATAATGTTTCTCTAACACAAACAGATGTGACTGATTTTATCGAAGGGGTGGACGGGTGACTGTTAACCCTTTAACTCCCATGAGTGACCGAAACAGAATTTCTCCTTACGATGTAAATACAACATCAACCAGATGAGTGATGAGAATAAAGAAAAATATCACTTTCGGGATAATTGGTTGATCCAATACTAAATTCTCTGAACTAACATTATAAGAATTGTATGGCTGACAGTAAGGAGAATGACAAATTTGATCTGGGAGTTAAAGGGTTAACCCTTTGACCTTTAGGAACGATGTGCTTTTAATTTCTCCTTACAATATCACTCTTGAATCACACATTAAGGTCAAGAGAAATGATCACCAACTGTAGAAACAAAGGAAATGATCACCAACTGTAGAAGGTTTTGGTTGTTAAACAAATTCTCCTCGTCAGCACTGTAGGAAATGTATAGAGAATATGCATGCTGATGTTAGGGTGTAGAGGGCTAAAGCAAAAAATTATTTCAGGGGTAGAAATATAAAATAATTCTCATTCAGGAAGTTGGCTGATGATTCAACGAATCGTAGAATATTGTTAAAAAAAAAATCAAAGCACATCTTCAATAGGCTTGCATAGTGCTAAAATTTGACACAAGACATGGTTACTGCTAATGACAAAGACTGATGGAAGCATGTGCTGCGTATCTGATTACACTGGGAAAATCATTTATAAGTCCCAGATCAAATGTGGAATTCTCCTTACTGTCAACTATACAACCCTTATAATGGTAGTTCAAAGAATTTAGTATTTGATCAACTAATTATGCCCAAATTGATATTTTTCTTTATTCTCAACACTTATCTGGTTGATATTGTACTGATATTGTAAGGAGAAATTCTGCTTTGGTCACTCATGGGAGTTAGAGGGTTAAAGGCATGTGATACAGCAGTTTTCAAAAGAGGGTTGAAAAACCAAAGCCACTTGGCATTCCCAACAACCACTCATAACCAAAGTTTATATGGTCATGGGTCTATGAGAACTCAGACTGCTTGAAACGCAGGAAAATGTGAGTGACCAAGATTGGTCGAGAGATTTGTGCAAGTTTTCTGGACCAATCACAGAGAAAAGTTGAGTTTGGTCAATGTAATCCTGGATTGCTTTGGATACTCTCTTAAAACAAACTTTGTCAGAATGACAAAACAAGAATGACATTTATTTAGCTTTTTCCATGTAATCAATTGGATGAATTAAATGTGGTCTTGATTTATTTACTTTATTACATGTAGCTCAGACCAACGTCAATTGAGAAAGAGATATTTCCAAAAATGGCGCAGGAGGATGAACTATTTGCATTCGACCTTCCAGGTACTTTCAGTGATCTATTTTCAATTATATAATAAGCTCAGTTATGCACGCATTCTGATTGGTTCTCACTTATGATCTATTGGAGGACAGACGTATGGATGACGTCATCATTAAAACTTTTTCCCGTATATTTTAATTCTTTATTATATAAAACAAATAGATTCCAAGTTGCTGTGCGTCTGTTCAGTAATAGATCACAGAGGACGTCAAAGTGTGGTAAGAACATTTTTTGTTCTTGATACGTTTTGACGTCCTCCGTGACTTTTTTGTTCTTGACACATTTTGACGTCTATTGCTGAACAGACCCACGGCAACTTGAAATCTATTTGTTAAATGTTGTAATAATTGAGTTACCGCCCTTTCTTCCTATCATCTACTCCATTATTCATGACCTGCCAGAAAAAAATTTTTTTGAAATAACTTCTCCCTAAAAATTTCCTCCCTTCTCCCCCCTCTCCCCGTCGTCCTCTCCCTCCATCTCCCCCACCTCTCCCCCCTCCTCCTTCGTCTAACCCCCTTCCTTCTGTCTTGAATTCTGAATAACATTTTCGACGTGATAGGTTTTTGGATGGATGTAGGTCAACCTAAGGATTTCCTGATTGGAATGGGATTGTTCCTCCACTTCTTGCGAGAAAAACACCCAGACCGTCTGCATGAAGGACCAGGAATTATCGGCAATGTCTTAGTGGTGAGTTATCTTGTGATGTTTCCATCCTCTCCTGATTGCTTTTGAAGCCGTTATTCTCTATATTAACCCTTTAACTTCCAAGATCTGATTGTTAATTCTCCTCTATAGCTGCTCCACATTTTCTCGTCAATTAGTTATGAGAATTTGGTGTTAAATCAGGAAAAAATTCTACCTGATACGTTTGAGTACCCTCATCACCTGTTTATTGGATAATGTATGAATATTGTAGGGAGAAGTTTCATGTTAATCACATCTTGGAGGTAACGCGTTTAAGAGTCTTGTTTTTTTATTTCTCTGTTTCGTTCAGGATCCCACGGCTAAAATAGGAGACGGCTGTCGAATAGGACCAAATGTAGTCATTGGACCAGGGGCTGTCATTCAGGATGGTAGGAAATTTTCCATGCAGTAATAGGCAAATTTTTGGACACAAGCAGTCGCAACGTGCGACATTCACGGCGAGAGGAGTTATGCTGAAAAGTATCGCGTGACACCGTATGACTGCGTGATAAAATTGCATGGCTGCAGGGGCCAGTGACTCTCTTTTAGATTTGGGTAGTTTGACTTTTAAGCCAGATTCATGAGAATAACTTCAAGATGTGCTGGAATTTTACGGTACAACGATAACAAAAATAATGACAGAGACGATAAAAACTTATCAAAATTGAAACGACACGAATGACTTGATTTTTCAAGGGTGTCACAAACACTGATGACCCAGTAGTTTCCTTGTGGCCCACTGATTAAAAAAACACTCAGAAAAATAACTAGAAGGAGCCGGCAGGAGGTCAAATAGATAGTCATCAGTCCATCTGCTGGTAGTCAGAGAGGAACTCGGATCCGAGAACTCAGGATTACGAATCTAAGGCGCCTTCCACTAGACTGTTTCCTTCTGGCAGTGAGTATGGAAAATAATCCTAGAATGCTTTAGTACAGTTTTACTTTACACGGTCAAATTTCTACATGTACCTAACTTGTACTACTTTTCAATCGATCAGAAACAAAACTAAATCCAACCGCCATAAACAGTGTACTTCTTTTACGTAAAGCTTCACTTACCCCTAACCTAACTTCATATCTCGTTTAACTTCATGTCAGGAGCGTGTCTTTCACGTTGCACTATTCTCCAAGAAGCTGTCATTAGATCACACTCATGGATTCACTCCGCCATTATCGGCTGGAAATCAGTTGTAGGACAATGGGTAGGTTTTAAATGATATGTTGACACATTTGCTGATCAGGAAACGAACTTTAAAAGAAAACTGGTGTTAGGGAGGTAAAAAGCTGTAGAAATTTTTGTCTGACTGGCGAAAGTAATCCAGAATTACATTGGCGTTGATTTATATCGCCCTACGATTCGTCCATTGCAAACCAATCAGGAGCGAAACAAAAAAACAAAAAAAAAAAACAAGCGCGACTCAGTTACACCCGCGTTTTCTACGCTTCAGTGAACTTGCCTGTTTTCAATCTTACATCTCATTGGCTGCTTGGAACATTTTTCTTCTGTTTTGATTGGTCGTTATGGTTTTTTTTGGTTCCTGTCTTACGACTACTCTATGGCAAAAAGTGCCCTGAAAGAGTTATAGATTTTGCTCAACCCCCTAAAATCAGTATGCATATTCTCCATACTGTTCTCTATACATTTCCTAAGGCGCTGACAAGGAGAATTTATTTAAGAATCAATAGCTTTTTCAATTGGTGATCGTTTCCTTCATTCTCGTGACCTTAATGTGTGATTTGGGGATGGTATCGTAAGAAGAAATTAGATGTCAGTCACTCTTCAAAGGTTACTGCTCACGCGACTCTGCAGAAAGCGCTTTCGAGGAATGATAAAATGATCCAAGTTATATTCCCAGTTTTTTTTTCCAACCCAAGGTTTGCATGTAATGATACCCTCGTGTGTCTTGTTGTAGGTTCGTATGGAAGGAGTATCAGTACTTGGAGAAGACGTTATAGTTAAAGACGAATTGTATATCAATGGCGGACGAATTCTACCCCACAAATCTATCTCAGACTCCTCACCAGAACCGCAAATCATTATGTAAATAGAAAATCAGCAGCTATGAAAAAATTCTTTAAACTATATGTTGGTATTGAGGTTTTTTAAATATTAACTTGTTCCAGGTGCGCAGGTTGTTAAAATGGAGTAAACGGTGCGATAGTAAAGGCGGAGCGTGAACGAGGGAGATCTGAGTCGAGCTGCGTACCGACCCAAGCCCCCCCGGTTTTTTTTTTCTGCGCTACCATCGTTCCGTCTTCTATCGCGCCTGGTTTTAAAAACTGAGCTCCTGGAAAAGGGCTGAAAATGTGAATCTTACTGGTGACCCGGTAAGAGAGTGTAGATTTAGTTTTAGAACTTTCGAAAAAAGACATTCAGTCAGTGAACTATTAGTGAAGAGTCAGTTAATTAAACGCATTCTAAGGGTATTCCAACTTTCCAGACCTTATTTTTTATCGACCGGGAGTAATGGGCGTATTGGTCTTTGCAGGGTGGGTGGGGCGCAAAAAACATAAATAAAATAATGATGATAAAAAATAGGTAAAATAAATATTAATTGGATTTTGGATTTTGGACACCAGTGGCCGACTTTGGATTTTGGACAGAAGCGGCCGTTTTTGGTTTTTTGGACCCTAGTGGCCGATTTTGGATTTGGATATTAGTAGCCGACTTTGGTCGAATTTAGACTTGAGTGTCCGATTTTGGACACCAGTGTTTTAGTTCGGATCCTAGTGTCTTAAATCCAAATTAAGACTATTAATTTCGATTAATTTAGACACTAGTATCTAAAATCTGAATATAGACACACATTAGTGTCTCGATCTTAAGACCGGCTAGTGTCCGATTTTATCGATTTGTGTTCTATTTTCGCTATTACACAGCACCGGGCTAGTCTTCCGTAATTTATTCGCATAAAAATGATGCTAGACATACTGGGTACTTGGTTTAATGTGGGAAGGATTTTGCAATACCTTGTGTGAATCACTGAAGTATTACTCGTGAAAAGTGACAAAGTGAACGAACGGTCGATTGTTTGAGAGTCAAATTTTATTTCTTGGACTATTGTGATTTTTTTAGGCGAAAAAGGTTTGTTTTGTTTTGTTTTTTTTTTAAATAGAAGTTTACTGAGTCAATCGTGGATTTTATGACATACGTGAGTACACAAGTTTCTTTCACAGCCGTTGTTTGGTTTCGTCACGCAACACATGAGAGAACATTGTGTGACGAGACCAAACAAATGCTGCGAAGGAGACTAGGCACAAGTGGAACTGGCAATCTTGGTATAGTGATACACTTTTTATGTCACTTTTGCAAAACCCTCGTGGACTGGGAGACTTTCGCTTGTAGGGTTTGTTTACCTATTGGATTCTTCTTTAAATTTGTAAACAATCGAACAAAATCGTTTCTTTAACGGGACATTTTCTGTTGACTGGCCGTAATTTCGAGCCTAATAATATATCCATATATCAAAACCAAAAACTAGCTTTATTTCAGTACTAAACATCAGCAACGTTCTTTCTACAATTTTTACATTTCACTACTGTTAGACAGCCTCCTCGCTGGTGATATCCTCCAATTCGTTAACGATGTGCTTGCAAAAGAAGCATTCCTTGTTGTTCATAAGATGGCGAGAGATACAGGATCTGCAAACAGAAAGTAAACTCCATTTTCATCAAAAAGAATTCTTAAGTTTCGGGGCTTTTTCAAAATAACATGCCTGTCTTTCCACATGATACCCACCTGCATGACACGTGCAGACACGGGATGAACCTGACGGAAACTTTGACTGCACAGCAAATAGGACATAGGTCGTCAACATCTACGGACTCCTGGAGAGAGGGGACAAAATTGTGCTAAGATGCCAAGTTTTACTACTAATGTGGTTTATATTTACCAAATGTGAGCTGGCAAATACTTACCAACACACATTTTAAAATGGTTCGACTAACAGGCAATATGCACAATAAAACGCACTAATTTTTTAATTTTAACAGAAATGTTACATCTGTCTTGGCCACCACTTCAATTTCGAACCACAATGAATTATTAGGTAACGTAGAGAAGCACGCACTCTGATTGGTCGAAGATGACATCATATATAATATTAAATTGAGTGACACACTTCAAAATGGCCAGCGAGCGATTTTTTTTTATTCATGTAATAAATAAACATTTGAGCAAGAATTAATTTTTTTGATGAAAAGTAAAAGGAAAATACAATTGCTTTAATAATCAAAACAGAATTTATGAATGAACGAACAACCATTCTCCTCAGGCTCAGCGAAAATAATCGACTATTGCACACAACATTCACGTCGCCATCGGGCGAGTCATTGTTCGAAAGTCTCTCTCGTTGTTGGTCTTTGATTGTTATGATTTCACGAGGAGCCTAAAATACCTGTGTTTGGAGCCCATACTCTGTGCCCTGACTCTCAAGATGTGCTACCAGATCATCGACTCGTTGAACCTCCTCGGGTGTAACATCTTTTTTTATCACTACACAAAGAAAAAAAAAGAGTTTCCTGGCAAATCGATGGCCTACGACTCCAATAAATTGCTAACCTGCCTCCAAATAAAAATCTCGATTTATGCAGGATTGTATCTGCCTGCGCTTCTGACAACGAATCCGACTGCGATTCCCACATTAGTGAATTCTGGCTAACCTCGAACCCCTCTACATAGCAATTCTCCAGTCCATGTAGTGCACATTTCTTGGTGAGCTAGTTAAGAAATTTGGTGCTTAATGGTTAAAAAAAACACCCACTAGCGGATGAGCGGATTAATTTTACCATTCCCATCACCAAGCTTTTCATATTTTTAAGTTAAAAAGATTAGTGTTGAAAATTATATATAGCTGTCATCAGTACGTGTTTTGAAGGAGAATTTTGGTTTTGTAGCTTCAACAGCGACTGATTTGCCTCCAACCAAAAAGCAGACGGTGTCCAGATTGTAACCGGGTTCTGCCAACAGGGAGGAGGTCGCTCTCTCTTTACTGAAAAAAAGAAAGACGCGCAAAATCAGTATGAACATTTCAAAAACCGATATAAAAGAAAAAACGTGTAACAAGCGTACAGAGTGACACAAAAGTTAAACTAGTCGCCATGATATCTGTGACATAAAGTCTCGAGAAGTGTCGCCCCCTCCCCCCTCCCCCCGCAGGGAGTGATGGTCCATCGTAGGTTAACTTCCACTATTCCCCTTCACCCACCCCCCCTCCCTCCCCGAGATTTTGTCAGGTTTCTCTGAAAATACGTTGGTACCCATCTGTAATCTTAGATGAAAAGAAGTGCTGTGAGAGTGAGGGGTTTAGAATTAAAACACAGCACCCCCGGCTCTCATCGCACATAATCATTGGTAGAGCCCGTCGATCTCCCACAGACGCAAAAGTAACCAATTAAAACAACAAAAAGACCAAAAAAAAAGTGAAAATAGCCATAAACAAAGGCTAAAGCATTAACAATTAGGTGAAAAGAAAATAAAAGAACGAAAGCAATAACAACGAGAACAGATCTGAAGCATTGAATTTTTGAGAACCAGGCGTTTGGCTCGTTGATTCTTCGTCAAAACTATTCACACCTTTCAATTGTGCCATCCAACAACAGCGTCAGCAAGATTCCTGTCACAGCACCGAGAATGGGAAACCGGTCGACAGTTTCTAGTCCTGAGGAAATAGAAATGAATGAATGATTGATTGAACGAATTGAATAAGTTAGCTCTCCGTCCATTCAGTTCTAGTGAATGGGAAAGTAGTGAATTGCAACTTAAATTCAAAACAAAAACAGCTGATAACGTTACCAGGTAAATGAAGTCTTGTCACATTCTCGAAGAGGTTTGAACCGGCCGTCACTCGATTCAGAACCTGAGTTAGCAGCTGGAAACATAAAAGCAAACAATTATTAATGACAGTTTTCAACAACATCGAGGGGAGAGGAACATAAGCGAAGAAGGACTTTCTTTGGATAAAAAGTAGCAAGGGGGCTCTTCATAAGAACACGCCTTTATTAGAGGGTCATTTTTTTTGTTTTCTGTTCATGGATACCAATAGCTAATGAGTTACATGTTCGTTCAGTATCCTATGGACTGATTAGTTTTTAGAATGAAGCACAAATTAGTCTAAAATTATCATAGAACTTAACAAAGACGTAGATTGCCCATGAAATATTTTGGATGGGCAGAAATACACACTATCGAGTTCGCACAATCAGCTTTGGTTGCGAAGAGGCTTTGATTTTATGTACCAGACTGCAGAGGATTAAACACCACAGGATCAGTTATTTTTATAGTCTTTGAGTCTGTGATACCTGAAAAAGCCGTGCAATGTGTAGCTCTGCGGACTGCCGTTTCCAGTCTGTAAAGACTTCCGGAGCAACTGTTGCAACCATCTCCAACACCTACAGAAAGAAATCGCAGCGTCTTGACTTAAGAACATGGTAAATAATTACTTGAACACTGACTTTTTGGAATAATCAGAAGCTCATTTCATTTCTGTTCCTATAAGAATGAAAAAAAAAATTAAAAACCTTGGAATATGTATAAAAGAGGGCGTAGGAGTACAGGGGTGTTTCACTTACCCGCATTAACCCGACAGTCAAATCAAAACACACTGCACAAGTTCGCAGTTGTCGTGAATCCAAAACTGTCTCCATTTGATGAGTGGCTTGTTGGATCTGATTAATCAAGAAAGGGAAGTATTTGACCAAGTTTTACACAAAAAGAAAATTTCTGAGAGGTGCATCGTATCATGCTGTTCGTTATATGATCCACACCGGCGGAAATTAACGACTAGGGAATATTGTAATTCCCCGTGGGATGCTATTCATTTCATGTTAACCCCCCTCCCCTCCCCCCCTAACAGTTCTTCCTTCTCCCTTCCCCCCAGCCCCCCCAAAAAAAAAACAAGACAGGATCACCAGTTAAGGCTTAACCCTGCATATCTCAATCTGGTGTCTTGTGCAGCCTAAATCTGAGGTATTTTGAAATTGGCCCACCTCTTGCAACATTCCAATAAACTCTGAAAATGACCAGTTCAGCTGATTTAACAGGCCGTTGAGAAATTCGCTTGCCAGTTGGTTGTCTTTGACGCAAAGTTGACCAAACTGCTGCTGGCATTTCTTAGAAGGATGAGGAGCTGAAATAAGTAAAATATTTAAGCAACACGTCAGGTACATTCAAAATTTAATAGGGACCTTACTCAAGTCAAAATGGACACAGCAACGGAGACATGACGAAAAAAAATTAATGAACAGCAGAACACTAACTCTGCACGTGCGTTGTAAAACTTTGCACATAATTGCTAGCCGCCCTCTAAAAATACATATATGAGGATTGCCCTTGTTGTTAGGATCACTCCCATCTCCTGATATTTGGTTTTCTAAGCTACTTACGGATCAATGTCAGTATCTGAGCAACTGCACTCCTTCCCTTTACTTAGAAATTCGTCAAAATCGTCAATTCCGCCAAGCTGGTTCCACTTTGACGAATTTGACTGTAATTCGCTATAATCGTCAAATCTGTTGACATTCACTCGGTTTGGCGAAATTTCGTCAAATCTGCCATTCTCGTTTCTGCGTGCATTTCTAGACATAAGTAGGTAAGTAGGGGATACTGACTTTGACCCTATATATATACTTCCAAATTTCAGGAAAAAGATTCCGAGTACTTACGCTGGAGACTGGCACGTTGCTGACCTGAAAAGAAGAGATAAGAGTGTTCAGCAAATTTCAATTGAGTGTCGAGAGTAGTGTAGGATCGCTTTAGTTTTACTTTACCTTGCTTTGTGATTGGCTAAAAACTTGTGTCACTTTCCCAACCAATCAGATTCGAAACTAAAACCAATTGCGACTTTGACCCTCGCATTTTCCCGCGCTTTTGGCAGTTTCTTTGTTTTCACATGGAGCTCTGATTGGCTTCTTAGGATTCACTATGGTTTTGGGTTAAAAAGTATTATTGGGCATCATTGCAATAGCTGGGAAATCGTTACGA